CGAGGGCCGTGGGCGCGGAGCAGCCAGAGGCACCCGTGCCGGTCTCCAGGCTGCAGCACGGGGAGCCTCCAATGCCCGACAGCTCCACGATTCCCGACGTGCCCGCGCCGAGAACCGCGCTCCAGCTGTTTGCAGCTGCATCTGCACAGGCTGCCCCTGCGCTCAGCAGAGCCCGTGACTCCTGCGCTCACACTGCAGAGCTGCTACCTACCGCGCAACGGGCGTCTGCAACGTCGTGCTCGTCGCTGCACCTACCCTTTGAAGTCCTCCAATGCCCGACAGCTCCACGATTCCCGACGTGCCCGCGCCGAGAACCGCGCTCCAGCTGTTTGCAGCTGCATCTGCACAGGCTGCCCCTGCGCTCAGCAGAGCCCGTGACTCCTGCGCTCACACTGCAGAGCTGCTACCTACCGCGCAACGGGCGTCTGCAACGTCGTGCTCGTCGCTGCACCTACCCTTTGAAGTCCTGCAGGGTTATGGTGTCCCCCAGCAAACTCAGGAAGCTCTTGAAGGCAGGACTCTCCTCGTTGTTTCCAAACAGCTCTTCCTCGAGGGTCTGCAGAGAGTACAGCCATAAAGCATGAAAGAAAGAAGTGCTAGAAGTGATTTTCCAACAGGAATGCTATGCAAAGAACTACATGTCTGCATAACCTACGCTTCTTTGGAAACACACTTTTTGGTTTACCTGGTGCTGCAGAGGTACCAGGCTCATTCCTATATCAGAATAACAGACCCAAAGCAGAATGGGGGTTACCGACCAGCCTCAATGCTGAACATGGAAATGCTCAGAACAGCCCCAAACCTGCCCCGAAAGGGGAAGTGATGGCCCGACAACCTCGCTGGGCAGAATGGGACCTGCTCAGCCATCCAGGGCTGAGCTTCTGGGAGCAGTGTCCAGCCAGGAGAACGGTACCCACGCAAGCCATGGCTGGTATCCAAACACAGGTTAATACTGCCTTGGAAAATTCAAGTCTTAATCTTCCCCTGTGAGGTACAGCTCAGAACAAGGAGACCTAACTGTGGTCTTGCATTAGTTAGTCCATCGGATATAAAATGCAATGTGCGAAGGTAATGCGAACGCCTGTCAGAATAAACCCTCAGAAATTATCAGATTCTTCTGTCTCTGCTTCCCCTCTAAAGCTCCTGAGCTAATGAAAGCGTTTCCAGCAAACACATGTCCTCATAGCCCGCAGTCTTACAAGACCAATCTAACTGTTTGACTCTCTAAACATACAGCTGATTAAAATACCGCTGTTGCTAAAATGCATTTGCGCATCCACGTCTCCCGCAGCAGCCTCTGGGCTCATTTACATACTGATTTTTCAGTCACATCATTTTTAATGAGACAGGGAAACATCCAAGTAAGAAGAGGACACCCAGTACCACAACGTGTTGCACAGGGAAAAACTAATGCCAGGTCCTGATTTCCACATCCAGGCTCTCGCCCGATCTGCAAGGAGGCTCTGGCTCAAGGACGCGCGTGGCCCTCACCTGCCGGAACTTCTGGTAGATGACACCGAACTTGAAGGTGTTGTTGACCTCGTGCTCGTCGTAGGACACGATCATCTGGGATGCCTGGCAAGGCAAAGTGCGAGCAGTCTCATTCACAGGTCACTACACGGAAACGACCGTAAGCCAAAGGTCTTTGGGGTCACAGCCCCAAATGACCCAAGGAGCAGGGGTGGCAGGAGAGCTGCACTAGGACAAGCAGCCTTGGGAGGATGCACATAGTACGGGGAAATACTAGGAAACCTAGAGAATCCTAATTGCCTTCCCCAGATTCTCAGTGAAAAAGTATGGGATTTTGGGGTGCAAGTAGCGCCACTGCAGAATCACAGTGCCCGCAGGCAGTGCATGGCCACGAGGGACAGGACGCACGGACACCCGCGGGGCTGGGAGGACAGCGCGAGCCCAGCCCGACACGCGGCCTCACCTTGGGGTACAGCACCGGGTTGAACTTCAGCCCCGAGGCGTCGTCGCAGAAAGCCTGCGGTGAAAGGAGCCGCGGTGGGCGCAGGGCCGGGGCGGCCGCGGCTCCCCCCGGACTGTCCGTGACTGCAGCGGGGCAGCCCGACCATCACCAGGGCGGCCGGGGATGCTGCCCATGAGGGTCAGTCCCCACGAACGCGCCCGCTGCAGCGAGCCCAGGCAGCGGGAAGCCCCCATTTCCCCGGGTGCCCGGAAAGCGGAGCAGGGCCAGGCTGGGCGAAGAAACCACTATGGCACGAGCGGCACGACGGAGTGGAGAGGAAGCAGCGTCTCACCTTGGCGATCTGCGGGATGCTGGGGAGCTTGCTGAACCCGGCCAGGGGGATGCGCTCGTGCAGCGTCTTCACCTTGGACCTGGCACAGAGGGACATGGAGAGCTGCCACAGACTGGGCACACTTCCCGGCACCGGCACACAAA